TCTCGCTCTCTCTCTCTCTCTCGCTCTCTCTCTCTCTCTCGCTCTCTCTTGCGCGCTCTCTCTCTCTCTCTCTCTCTCTCTCTCTCTCTCTCCCTCTCTCTCTCTCGCACACACACACACACACCATCACCTCTTAGATTTACTCCACTCTGCAACTAACCTTCCCCGCTCTCCATGCTTCCCTAATCGAGCTTGCGTGTCACGAGATTCACTCCACTCGCCAGGGGCCAGACCACGGTTAATGTAAGGAGTAAATCTTCTCAAAACTTTGAGATTATTTACGCCTGGTTAATACGAATATAAAACTAAACGAGCAGATGACTGCAAACCTACCTTCTCCGCTCTCCCTGCCTCCCTATCGAGCTCCCTAGTGACGACCAGCGCTACGACGGTGCCGCCGAACGCGTCCTCGCTGACCTGTATCGCGAATCCTCGTCCGTCCGACTTCAGCTCGTAGGTGAGCGCCGCGTTGTGCAGTACGTCGTCGTCGCCGGCCGGCTCGAGCAGGAGCGTGTAGCCGACGCGCGCGTTCTCCGATATCTGCACGTGCAGTTCGGGTTGCGGGAACGTCGGCGAGTGGTCGTTGACGTCGAGTATCTCCACCTGAACGCGCACGATCTCGAAGTGACGCAGCGGCAGCACAGCGATGTCGAAATCGTAGACGCACGTCGGCTTCTGCGCGCACAGCGCCTCGCGGTCGATGACGACGGCCGTCGTCACGTTGCCGGCGCCGTCGACGTGAAACAGCTCGCTGCGGTTGACTGTTTTCAGCATGTTGAACTTAATGCCGGCGACGCTGGTGGGGATGTTGACGACGTCGCGCACGTTTCCCACCAGGGTGCCCGGCGGTAGCTCCTCGTAGACGGAGCAGAGAAGTTCGGCAGCGCCGCTAGGGGGCGCGAGCGCGCATAGTAGGCAGCAGACGAGCAACGCGGCGACGTGGCCAGAGTTCGTCGGTGGGAACATTTTTGGCGCGAAGCAGAAGATGAATCTTTGGCTTTCTCTATCTGCAAATACAGGGGAAATGTGATGTTCACTTCGAGTAGAAATCCGTATTACTGCTATGCCTATAGATAGAGAGCTGTTCGGCTGCAATTGGTGCGTACCTCGCTATTTTCAGAGTATTGACTGATAACAGCGAGATAAGGCTTACATCAAACAAACAAAAAATTCCGCTTAGTAACACACTATAGATATTTCAGTTAAATTAACCAAACCTTAACAAGATTATCAATATTCCAATTTAAAAAAATGAATAATATTTCTGGTTAGTGTTATCGTGTTATGTCTACATTCAGAGGAATTTGCGCGAAACCTAATGTAATACGTATATAGGCAATCTATAAAGGCACCATTAGCTGTCCATTAACTTTAAAAGACCGTGCAATTTTACCATGAATAGCATCATAATGACGTTATAGAATACTAATCAACAGTATTATTTGCTTACGATCTTACGAAAGTTTGCCAGATGGCTACCATCAGTCTCATCATTAATACCTTACACTAATGCACTCCCTCACGCAGCTTCGATAACAAGAGTCGACCGCACCTATACCGCACAACACAGAAACACCATTGCCCTACTAACTAATCAACTCATTAAGGTACTAATCACAATTAGTACCTTTATGGAACAACTAAAACATGCTACCGCTATTGTAGAGCCACTCAGACTGCAATGAAGTAAGGATAATATCCCGGTCACTAGGAAAACGCAGTGTTCCCTGCACGACTGTATACCTAAATGTATATATATATATATATATAT